GGCCCCCAACCCTCCCGGAGCAGGAGGGGCGCCGTGCTTACTCCCGGCTGGGGCCTCCTCTCCGCGTCTGGAAGGTGGGCACTCTCCCAGGCCTGTCCTCCCGGACCCCGGGGGTGGGGGGGTGGTCAGAGGCCGCATACTCCCTGGGTGTCTAAGCCGGCCTGCTGGGGTCCGCAGAGCCAGCGCCGAGACCCTGGACAAGGCGACTCCTGAAAGCGACCCGAGGGCGGCCCAGGCGCAGCCCGACCTGGGCCCCCTCCAGCCCCCAGCCTCCGCCAACCCACCCGCCGTGCCCCGCACGCGGGCTCTGGGATCCGCGCACCCCTTTCTGCTAGGCAGAGAGCGTGGTGGATTAAATATACATACATATTTACATTTTTAATTGTTGAAGGAACCTCCCTTCCGGGAAGAACCAGTGGGCGCTGGGGACTGCGAGGGGCCGGGGGTCTCGCTCAGGGGCCGTGGCCCGGAGCTTGGCGGCAGGGGTGGCGCGTGGGTCTCTCTGGAGCCGTGCGCGCGACGCGGGTTTCGTTGCGCCGGGGAAGTCCTCCGGCGGCAGAGCCCGGGCCCCAAGCGGTCGGCGGAGCGGGGCGGTGGGGCGTCCTCCAGCTCCCCAGCCCTCCCCGTGCCCCTTCCTCTTCCTCCTGGAGGCCTCCACCCGCGTCCTGCGCGCCTGGCGTCAGTTTCCCCGACTGCTCAATGCTGGGCAGACCCGTAGACTCCCCTCTAGCTCATGAAGAAAGAGGGGCGATCTCCACAGACCCGAGAGAAGAGGGGTCGGGGCCTGAACGGGGGTGGGGTGCGCGTTCGTGTCCCGGCCCCCTCTTGCTGCGCCTCCAACTGGGCCTCACCCTATTTACAAGGGAGGCGCCCCAGGCTATGCCCCCCGCCGGGCTGGGGACCCGAGCGGCGCTGGTTGTGCTCGGAGGAAGCGAAAGCAGGTGGAGGCGGAGGGAGGAGAGCGGGCAGACCTCAGGCGCCCCTGGGATCCCTCAGCCCCTGCGGGTCATTCTCCAGATGGGGAAACCGAGGCGGGGACGGAGGTCCGGGCTCCCTGCGGCTCCTCCCCGTCCGGGCCTCGACCGCCCACCCCAGAGTATAGTGTGATGCTGTGGGGGGAGGGAGTCCCTCCTCTAACTGTGTTCTCGTAACTCCCGGCCGGCGGAGGCCGGGCCGGCAGGGGAGGGGACGAGGACCGGGGGCCCCAGGGACACACACACGCCCCTGCGTCCTGCGAACGCCCAGCCCGGATGCCCCCGCAAACAAGAGCGATGTTTGCCGAGAGCGCGGCGGGCGGTGTGGCCCAGGAGCGATGAGGATTCTATGGAGCCGCGCGCGGCGGCGGGGGCAACGGAGCCGGGGCGGGCGCGGGGATCGATCGAGCGCAGCTGTCGCTGACACGCCCGCGGGAGCATCCACCCCGGGGCCAGCGCCCTCGGGCGCCGCCGACCGCGGGCGAGAAGCTCGGGACGTCCGCCCGCCAGGGGCGAAGCCCCAACGTCGCGGCGCCCCAGGGCCGGCCCTCGGAATGTCCCCGCGCCCAGTGTCCGAAATCGGAACCTCCCCGCGCCGCGCGCACAGCCCCTCCAGGACCCCCGGCCAGGCCTGAAAAGCCCAGCCCCCTCTCCCCAAAATCTAAATGAAGTCCAATGACCCCCCCCCCCGCAACGGAGGCGCCAAAGTCCAGCGGGAGGGTGCCTGCCTACAGGTGTGCGCCAGCCGGGAGTTGGGGGCACCCGCAGGTTTGCGGGACTGGAACTGGGGGCGGCTGCAGGGGATGTTCATCGTCTCTATTTGTTAAGACCTGACTAATAAAAACAGGGGTGCGCAGCGGCTGGTGACCTCCATTTCCGTGGGGACAAATCCAATCGCAAAATCAGTGGCGGACCATGGAGGGACCTAGCAGAGACTCTGCAAGGGAAAACCTTGGGTACATCCCCCCACCCCCATTTGTAGCCGAGATGCTGAGCCGGAACCGGAGGAGAGGAGGTGGACGGCACTTCAGGGGAGTTTCGAGCTTGGGAGGGGTGTGTGGTTGGAGCCGCAGACATGGCTGGGCTCTCCGGGTGGGGAGAAGGTCCGAACTGGGCACAGAGAGGGTGGCTGTCCGCCGGGGGACAGCCCAGCGCGGGCACACTCGGGGTCCCAGAGTCCATCTCCAATTTTCCTGGGGGGAGGGGCGCGGATACTGAGAGCATCCACAAGGTGGCCAAGGTCCGGGTAGGAGGGAGAACAGGGTCTCCCTGCCCCCATCCGGCCCACCCCGCCCCCGCCGCAATTTGCCTAATGACCCAAGATCGATCTAGGCCCGAGCCACCCTCCTGCCCCGTAGCCGTAGCGGCTCAATTCTATTTTGCTAATTACTAAAAGGCCGCTGATGGGGGACGCCCGTTCAGGGGTTCCAGGAGGTCTCCTCCCTCACTTGATGCCGGCAAATTTTTGTTCAGTCTCCCAGTAGGAGAGCAGCCTCTGTGGGGAGCGAGATCCCTGTTCCCCGAGGGAGTCCAAGTCCAGGCCAGCGTGAAGGAGGCGGGGGGGGGGTGGGCGGGACGGGGGCTACCTGCACGGGGTTAGGGGCCCTGGCCCTGGCCCTGCGGAGTCCTGGGGCTTGGGGTGTCCCGAGGCCGCAGAGCCAAGGGGGCTCAGTCTCCAAGCCACTGGCTGGCGTCTTTTCTTTCAAAATGGACGCTTTCTTCGTTATAAAAGCCACACATGCTTGTTATAAAAAAAAAAAAAGCAGTGATAATTGAGCCAGAGAAGATACATAAAGAAGGAAGCAAAAGGCCACGCGGTCAGGTCCCCCATGGAGCATCCTTGGGCGTGCCTTGGGGGGTCCTTCCTTCCACCTTTGTTTTCCCACCCTGACTCCTCCACCCGGCCTGGTCTGCCACTTGGGCCTGGGATGTGATCATTTTATGGAGGCTGATTGATTTTTAGATCTCACGATTATTTTTAATTATCTGTGATTGTTGGAGGGTAGGACTGGGGGGCTCAGCCCTGTGGAACCCGGCTCCTAGACTCAATCTGCGTGAGGTAGGGGGATGTTAAGTTGTCTGGACCTGTCCCTCTCCCCTCTCTGTCTTCCCACCCAGAAGATGGGTGTGATAATATGTAACCGGGAATCCCACAGAAACCCCAGAATGGAGAAGCCCATGGACTTGGACCCCAGGCCACGCTAGCGCTTGCACAACACGGGGGAACCAAGGACAAGCCAGGCCATGGTGCTCTCTACCTCGGGCCTGAGGCACATGGAGAATGGTGGCTTGACACCGGCTCAGGGTGGGATGAGGAAAGAGTATGTGCCTGTTAAACAGTAGGTGGCTACTAAATGCTGAGTCCTAAGCACGAAGCACTGATGGGTCCCCTTTAGCCCTATCCCACCCCAGGACGTGGATCAGGCCATCCCACTGTCTGATCCCTGTAATCTGGTCCCAGTCACCCAGGCCCCCCCAACTCCCTTGCGCTTAGAGACTGCACCCCTCCCTCTCCCATGATGGTGGTCAGGAAAGCCCTCTCCTCCCCATCGTGGAAGGGAAAATAGACACAGAAAGGGCTCTGCATTGGGGTGGGGGGGGGACAAGCTCAGCAGCTGGTCCACATCCACAGGGGAGAGGGGTGGGGGAGGGGGGCAGCGGTTTTTCTGGGTGGGGGTCTCCCTGCTGGGGTGTTCTTTCCCCTGGCAGCTTACAGCCCACATCCTCCCCACCAAGATGGGAGTGGGGGGGGGAGCCTCAGCAGAGGCCTCACTAGCTTCCCCCCCACCCCCGCAGAGGTTACCCTGTGTGGCAGATGATCTGGGGAAGGAGGAAGGGGGGGTCGATTTGGGGATTCCATCCCCCACTCTAGCCTCGAGACAGGGGTGCCCTTTGGGGTCTGGCCTGGTCACAGGGATGCATCTTAGCCCAGCAAAGGGACCATGGAAGGGGACTTCTCTCTGAGTGTGGGAGGCTCCCTGTTCCTCCCGGTTCCCAGGGGTCCCTGGGCCTCAAATGTCTCCAGGTGGTGAGGAAAAGGAGCGCCTTTGCTCCCCACCCAAAACAGAAAACCTGGCGTTGGAAGCTGAGGCTTCTTAAGAAGCCGAGAGGACACATCCTCTGCCCACGGACTCTGGAAGAGGACTCGGACCCTTTAAGCGTCACCCCCCCCCAGCTGCTCGACAGTGGGGATGGAGGAAACTAGAAGAACTTGGAAGAGGGAGGTGTCTCTGGCACCCCTGAGGACAGGTGCTCCACTGTGCAGCTGGGCAAACTGAGGCCCAGGAGCCCATACCTGGAAGCAGATCGGGACATGCAAACGGGGGGGCGGGCGGCAGCACCAGGACCCCGCTTCTCAGCCCCAGACCCCCCAGAGAAGTGGGAAGGGGTCTGTGGCTCCGGGAGAGTGTTCGGACAGGGAAGCTGAGCCTGCAGGGGCCCTGCCTTCGGGGGTCCATGTGCTGGGGGGGGACAACAGGTGGATGGTAGGCCCCCACCCTGCCACATTCCTATGGGCTCCCTGGAGACGGACTGGGGGGCGTCAGGCAGGAAAGTAAGCTTCCCGACCCTCTGGGGAGAGACACAGAAAGAGAGAGGCAGAGATGAGGGCCCCAGTCCACCTCAGGGGAGTCTGCCCTAGGAACCCCGCCTGTTGTGCCCGGCGCACCGCTGGCCCCGGGGAGGCGCGGGCGGGCACAGAGGCAGGGGAACCCCAGAAGCCCGAGTCCGGCCCACTCCGGCCAGCCGGGCGCTCGAGGGGGCCGGAGCGGGCGGAGAGCGAGGCGGCGGGAGGCGGCGGCCAGGGGAGCGGGTGGGCGGGGGTGCTGACGTCAGACCCGGGCCCGGGCGCCGGCGGCCGCTCCCCCGCCACATCCTGGTGGCCGCGCTCGCAGCCGGGCCGGGCGGTGCGCCGCGCAGCCGGGCAGCCTCGCGCGCAGCCACCGGGGAGCGGGCGGGGGCCATGCGGCGGCCTTGAGCGCGCCGGGCCGGCGCCGAGGAGCGCGCGCGGCAGGCGAGCGGCCGAGCATGGAGCTGAGCCTGGAGAGCCTGGGGGGCCTGCACGGCGTGGCCCACGCGCAGGCGGGCGAGCTGCTGAGCCCGGGCCACGCGCGCTCGGCGGCGGCGCAGCACCGCGGCCTGGTGGCGCCCGGGCGCCCGGGCCTGGTGGCCGGCATGGCGAGCCTCCTGGACGGCGGCGGCGGCGGCGGGGGCTCCGGGGGCGCGGGCGGCACGGGCGGCGCGAGCGGCGGCGCCGACTTCCGCGGGGAGCTGGCGGGCCCGCTCCACCCGGCCATGGGCATGGCCTGCGAGGCGCCCGGCCTGGGCGGCACCTACACGACGCTCACGCCCCTGCAGCACCTGCCGCCTCTCGCGGCCGTGGCCGACAAGTTCCACCAGCACGCGGCCGCCGCGGCTGTGGCCGGGGCGCACGGCGGCCACCCCCACGCCCACCCGCACCCGGCGGCCGCGCCGCCCCCGCCGCCCCCGCCGCAGCGCTTGGCGGCCAGCGTGAGCGGCAGCTTCACCCTCATGCGCGACGAGCGCGCCGCGCTCGCCTCCGTGGGCCACCTCTACGGGCCCTACGGCAAGGAGCTGCCCGCCATGGGGTCCCCGCTGTCGCCTCTGCCCAACGCGCTGCCGCCCGCCCTGCACGGCGCCCCGCAGCCCCCGCCGCCGCCGCCGCCGCCTCTGGCCGCCTACGGCGCGCCGAGCCACCTGGCCGGGGACAAGCTGCTGCCGCCCGCCGCCTTCGAACCGCACGCCGCTCTGCTGGGGCGCGCCGAGGACGCTCTGGCTCGCGGGCTGCCCGGAGGCGGCGGCGGCGGCGGCGGCGGCGGCGCGGGCGGCGGGGGCACCGCGGGGCTGCTG